TTTATTTATTTATTTTCATTTTTATATTATTAAAAAAGAAAAAAAACAGACCACCTGGACCTTTTAATAGCAAATTAGACCTTTCCATGGTATTTCAAGAAAAATCTAGCTCATTGTAATAAGGCATGACTCAAAAGAGGAGGACTAAGAGCTCTTTTTAACCCTTGTAAACATATTTATGGCTATTTACTCATTTCTGTAGGTGTTTGTTATAGTATTAAATAGTTGTTGGTGAAATAGTCCAGTATTAACAGTACTATAACTGGCTATCCAGGATTTTTTACTTTTTCAAGCCAGTTCTTCAGTGCTCATGCTAAATGTACTGCTGCAAACATTTGCATAAATATTTGCATCACAGCAAATACTGGGTGTAAAATAAGCTGAAAATATTCGGTTTTCAGACTACCCAGATATTGAAGTGCTTGAGTTAACTGACAGTGATGTAAGGAATAAATCAGGACGGGTCATGCTTTTATAGGACAGTAACAACTGGATGGTGTGATGCTGCCTGAGGCAGAGCAGAGGTAATGCTACCACCCTGAAGATGATTACTTTCCAATACCAGCATGTGATTTATTCCTCTTATTCCATAGCAATTTTCCAAAGATTACTATTTTTTTTTTAAAGAATGAGACATTTCACTTTTTATTCATTTAAATTTGATATATAGTTGATAAAATCTTTTAATGCTGTGCAAAACTTCATTAGAACCAACACTAAGTAACCAATAAGTCTCGTATGTCTCAAGCTGCAATGTGCGTATATTCCCTAGTGTGCCATTATCGAGCTTCCTATGACACTTCCGGCTTTTCCAACACATCACTGGGGAGGGTGCGATGGGTTTCTGGCTGACAGTCACCAAGACACTTTGCTTTGAATTAAAAAAAAAAAAAAAAAAAAAGTTTCCCTGTGTGATGTGCTTGGTGTCTGTGATCACCTGGGTTCAGCAGATATTTTTTTTTCCTGTTTTCATGTCAAAACATTTTCTTTTCACGTCACTTAATTCACATCTAATTCGTCTTTTCTGTCATTCGGCTCCAGGTTTCAAGGAGCTGTTAAGCTGTTAAATAATATATACACTGATCATCCAAAACATTAAAAACACTGACAGGTGAAGTGAATAACATTGATTATCTTGTTACAGTGGCATCTGTCAAGGGGTGGGATATATTAGGCAGCAAGTGAACAGTCAGTTCTCAAAGTTGATGTGTTGGAAGCAGGAAAAATGTGCAAGCTTAAGGATCTGAGGGACTTAAGAGCGCAATTGTGATAGCTAGACGACTGGGTCAGAGCAGCTCCAAAACGGCAGGTCTTTTGGAGTGTTCCCTGTATGCAGTGGTTAGTACCTACCAAAAGTGGTCGAAGGAAGGAAAACCGGTGAACTGGTGACAGGTCATGGGCGCCCAAGGTTCACTGATGCGTGTGGGGAGCTAAGGCTAGCCTCTCTGATCCTATCCCACAGAAGAGCTACTGTAGCATAAATTGCTGAAAAAGTTAATGCTGATAATGATAGAAAGGTGTCAGAACACATAGTGCATCTCAGCTTGCTGCATATGGGGCTGCGTAGCTGCAGACCGGTCAGAGTGCCCATGCTGACCCCTGTGCACTGCCGAAAGCGCCTACAATGGGCATGTGAGCTTCAGAACTGGACCACGGAGCAATGGAAGAAGGTGGCCTGGTCTGATGAATCATATTTTCTTTTACATCATGTGGAAGGCCGGGTGCATGTGCGTCACTTACCTGGGGAAAAGATGGCACCAGGATGCACTATGGGAAGAAGGCAAGCTGGCAGAGGCAGTGTGAAGCTCTGAGCAATGTTCTGCTGGGAAACCTTGGGTCCTGGCATTCATGTGGATGTTACTTTGACATGTACCACCTACCTAAACATTGTTGTATTGTTTCATGGCAACAGTATACCCTAATGGCAGTGGCCTCTTTCAGCAGGATACTGCACCCTTCCTCACTGCAAAAAAATTGTTCAGGAATGGTTTGAGGAACATAAAGAGTTCAAGGTGTTGACTTGGCCTCCAAATTCCCCAGATCTCAATCCAATCGAGCATCTGTGGGATGTGCTGGACAAACCTACAGGACTTAAAGGATCTGCTGCTAACGTCTTGGTGCCAGATACCACCGCACACCTTCAGAGGTCTTGTGGAGTCCATGCCGTGACAGGTTAGAGCTGTTATGGCGGGACAAGGGGGACCTACACAATATTAGGCAGGGGCTTTTAATGTTATGGCTGATTGGTTTTATTGGCATAGGCATGCGTCAAAATAACTTCCACTTCTACCTCTGAGAAAGTCACTTCTGCTCTGTGAGCTTTGCCTTTTATGGAGTTTTGTGGGCGTCACAAAATATAAATCAGCTGGGCCATGCACACACCTGGTAATTTACGAGTGATTGGAATTCAACAACATATGCACGAGTATGAAGAAAACCAGCATTTACACACAACTTTACTAAAAGATTGATAAATGAGGCCCTATGTTGTGTTACAGCTGCAAAACAAGTTAGTTCCTGTTATCGCTTGTGTTATAGCTACTATAAATAGTCGTTCACTAACCAGCCTCTTTCTCTCTTAAAAGAACAGTGTTTTTTTTTATATGAATAGTTAAATGAATAATTTGAATGAATTTGTGGATATTGCACATTTTCAGACCCAGTATGCACTGAAATAGATTTTGAAAATATTTATACTTTTTTTTTTTTTTTTTTTAAGATTAAGAACTCTAACAGTGAAGTGGGTTCGACATTTGAATGATTCCCACCTGTGTTCAAGAAGCTCCGCCCCCAGGATCTACAGTGGCCCATAAAGTGTCTATAAAATGACCGACAGTACGTGCATCAAAACACAAACAAGTTTTCCAGACCAGTCTGTTTTCCAAATGGGTTTTCTCAGTGACTTAACACACTTTTGCTAAGGCCACGACTTACTCCTTTAAAAAAAAAAAAACAACATGTTTTACATATCTTCCAAGTTATTTGTACAAGTAAGGAATAAAAAAAATGATTATTGCATCTTTAAAGGGTTAATCATGTAGCTAACATTTTAGAAAACTGCTTTAGTTTAGCTTATTACAATCTTCAGTGACAGTTTGCAGAGGGTAAGAATATAAATAATTTAAATAAGTATTTTTTACACAACACTGACCAGGGGGTTTAGGAATTGATAAACAACTCACTTCATATCATTTGGAGGCTGTCTCTCGTTTACTTCAGTATTTTGTATGCATGATATACTGTAAGGGAGGCGAACGATAGTACTCCGTCCTGCTACTCAGGCAAGTGAGATGAGCCCGATCGACCCAGTGGTGATGCTATTGCGAAGGGGTTTACGTTTTGGTCCATATCTCATGACCTGTGAGTCCTACAATCAAAATTCTTGTCCAACAAAAAAGCCTCAAGAACCAGTTAGCTCTGCCAGCTTAGTTTTTTTTTTTGGATTGTCACAAATTTGCCAAAATACTCAGAAGGGAGTGACACTTAATAATTCTCAAAAACATGTCGAAATTTGTGGGGGGCACGGTAGCCTCGCACCTGGGTCCCTGGAGGACTAGTGGTTAGGCCACATCGCTCTTACCACTGCGGCCCACGTTCGATTCCCGGTCAGGGAACCGACCCCAGCCTCTGGGATTGCACAAGACATCCTAACGGGAGCAGCCGAAAGAGGAACAACAACAGTGGTAGCCTTGCACCTCTAGGGTTGTGGGTTCGAATCCTTGAAGCCTCTGCCCTGGGTATGTGGAGTTTGCATCTTCTCCTCATGCTTTGGGGTTTCCTCCCCCAGTCCAAAGACATGCGTTGTAGGCTGACTGGTATCTTGTGTGTGTGTTTGTGCCCTGCAATGAGTTGGCACCTCGTCCAGGGTATCCACCACCTTGTGCCCTGAGCTCCCTGGGATATACTGGATATACTGTGTCTGGTACACTAACAGGTGAGAAGTTTCAGTTATTACGGTAAGACGTGTTTCCCTTTGAAACTGACCTCGGGTGACTGAGTTTTTCAAGCCTGTTAAGCTAAGAAGCAGCTACATAATCAACAAGCAGGTTAACATCTGTAACACACCGCGTTTATTTAGTGGTGTCATGGCTTTACGAATCTGCGGCTTCTTCCGTCAGGGAATCTACACTACGGTAACGTAGCGCCATAGTCACGCGCCACTGGCCCTGACTTCATGACTTTATTGTGAAGCAGAATGATTAAACACTTCCGTACTTTTAAACAGTCTGCGCTTTTAAAGTAACTTTTTTAAGACGTCATAAGATTACTGGATGTGTTACGCTTTAGATGTCTATATTATCAGTTATATTTTATGAACAATTCAAAGCCTAATACGAAAACAACATTATTAATTTAACAAGCCCTGACGTGCTAATTCAGTAGGCGAATTTCCTTGTACCGTAAATACTCCAATAATACGGCGTGGGAAAGTAGAAAGTCGAAAAGTAGAAAAGAAAAGTAATACACATGGTTGACGCGGTGACTAAAAAGACATAAACTCAATATATATGTCTTCATTTTGGCGCTTAGCTTAACGTATATATATATTTTTCACTCTTGTCTTATAAAGTCGGCTGTGTTGAGTGGAGCAGTCGGAGCTCGCCTGAAGAGCTCGTGCCCGGTTCAGATCAGCCATCTGGATCATCTCGTGCTGACGGTTCGGGATGTGAAGAGAAGCACACACTTCTACTCCTCAGTCTTGGGAATGGGTGTAGTAACTTTTAAGGTAGACCACCTAGATCACCTGGAGCCCACTGACAACACATGCAGCCATGGCCTCTCCAGTCTCTTCTATTAGTGATAGAAATATTATGTCATTGTAATATAAGAATTACCACAAGGTGGCAGCATTGTACAAATAACACACTTCCACATAGAACTTCAATTAACAGCATCAGTTTGCATTTACGGCATTTGGCAGACGCCCTTACGCAACATTTATACAACTAAGCAGTTGAGGGTTAAGGGCCTTGCTCAAGGGCCCAGCAGTGGCAGCTTGGTGGTGCTGAGGATTGAACTCATGACCTTCTGATTGGTAGTCCACCATCTTAACCACTGAGCTACCTGTAAGGAATAAGATTAAACATATATGTTTACTTGCTGAAAACTGATAATTTGTGCATTTTCACCACACTGTACTGCTTAAAAGCTTGTGCAGTTTTAATAATTTAATTTATAAATTACCAGTATCCCATAAATGGTTAGGGCACTAATACAGGGTGTCCCAAAGTCTCCATACATAATACATAGGGGATGATGTATGCCAGCACCACATCGGTTGTGCCTTCGTCAGTGGATGTTCGTGGACGTCCACTTCTTGACACTTCCAGTCTTTTTGAATTTGTTAATAAGTTTGGGAACAGTGTTGAGTGTGAAGTGCTTGCCAGGTTTCCTGTTAAAGTCCATCGCAACCTTGTGACAGCTTCCCGATCCAGCCATGAGAATGATTTCAATACGTTCTTCTTTTGTCAAAGGCATTCTTAAAGGATAAAGATATATATATATAAACTATGAAAAATTTTGGAGGACATTTTGCTAAAAAGTGTTAATTTCCCTTACGTATGCAGACTTTTGGGACACCCTGTGGAGTAACATCTCAATTCTCAGTCCTTCCTTCTTTCCTTCCTTACCACCACCCATCCATCTTCAGTCCAAAGGAATTTACATTACAAATCATTTATAATTGTCGTTGTGTTCTGATGTTCCCTACACTGTGATGTGCAATGTGAATGTAACATCTTGATCAGCTTTATCCTACACTACATCTTTACTCTGCTCTACATCTTAGGGAAACCGTAAGGCTCTGAGCTTTGGAGAGCAGAAATTCAACTTACACGAGGTTGGGAAAGAGTTTGAGCCAAAAGCCAATAATCCTATGCCAGGCTCAGCAGATCTCTGTCTCATCACAAAGACCCCGCTGGAAACAGTTGCTGCCCATCTGAAGGTGCACCTAATTCAGAACAATCCAGTCTTACAGACTACAGAAGAACATGCAATATTGATTTCTGTTTTATAAATGATTTGCATAATTATTATTATTATTATTTTTTTTTTAATCTATTGACAGGAATGTGGCGTGACGATTGAGGAAGGTCCAGTTGAGAGGACAGGAGCGGTAGGCCCCATCAAGTCCCTGTACTTCCGAGACCCTGACCACAACCTGATTGAAGTTTCCAACTACAGTAACTAAGACTTGAACAACAGCAGTCTAATTGTGGAGGAAACTGCCGTTTGGCTGTTAAACTCTTAACAGTAAGAACAGGACCAAACTCATCAAATCATACGAAACTGTAAAACTTATGAAAATGTACATCTCTGGTAGATGTAATATTAATCACCCTATGGCAAATGCAATAAAATAAAAGCTGTGTTTGAGAACATAGGGTCTGGTAATACCATTAATTTGTTTTTTGTTAATTATACAGTAAACCTCCAAGACATTGGCAGCAACCTGATAAAGGTGTCCAGCTACAACTGATCCCCAAACTCTACTAGTTACAGCTTCCACATTGAAAGCATTATCTTTGTGTTCACAGTGTTGAGTTAATCTTTGAATCCACACTTTCCATTTGGACTTCATATTAGGTCACTCTCTAAAAACAGTTTTTCTTTAGCTTCAGTATTGAGATTCAGTATTTTAGATTCAGTATTGAGTCTAACTTTCTGTGGTTTGAGAGGTAAAGATCCTGGCTTGTACTTGTACAACCTCCCACTTAGTCTACTTGTCCAGAACCAAGCTTCAGTATATTCCAAACTCAGCTGTCAGGGTCTACACACACACACACACACACACACACACACACAGTGTCTGCACATATTGCACATAAGATTCTATCACACTGTCTGCATTTAAAGCACTCCAAGGCCTTGCCCCACTATATCTCACAGAGCTTCTACATCTTTACACTCCAGCTGACACACTTGGGTTCTCAGGTGTTGCTCTACCAATGCAGTCTAAGGGTGCTTTTCTACCAGACAATCTGTTATGACCCTGGTGATTGACTTGAGTGATGATTCTGTTGCAATGTCCTGTGGACTTTCTGTACAGATCACTTGTCAAACCTGTGTTGACCACATTTTGAATCATCACTCATGTCAGACAATCACCATTTTGAAAAACACTAACATTCCTGTCTATATGTTGAATTACAATGTGACCTTGAGTATGAGTAAGGTGCTATCTGAGTAAGAAAGAAAACACGACAGGGCCTACTGTTATAGGAAAATATTTTCAAATAACAGCATGTCCCAAAGTTTTTTTTAATTCCTCTTATACCACAGAAATTGTACTGTCAGTGATACAGTCATGCACAGTACAGTAAAAAATGGTGAAGCATATTTACAGTAACATACTGCAATATATTTATAGGTAAGGTAAGATTTTATTCAAAGTGAGTTACAATTGAAGCAGGATATAACTGAGCAGTTGAAGGTTAATGGTCTTGGTCAAGGACACAACCATGGCAGCTAGGTGGTGCTTGGGATTGCTTGGGATGTGAACTCACAACGATCTGATCTGTAGCGCAGTGGCTTAACCACTGAGTCATGACTTCCCTCAACTAGTTTACCCTGATTCAGCTACCTTTACCATTAAAGTAACTTGCAGTAAAAGACACATTTCAATGCATATACACTTACATGAAGGAGTGTTTGTGTTCACTTAAAATAGTCGCCATTCTCACTTCCACATAAAGCATTAGATATCCCACCATGCATTTCATCACTATGCTGGTATTTTACTCTAAACCATTGCACTGTTCTAAATACCCAGTTGTTTAAAATACAGTCCTGTAAAATAATAAAATAGTATTTGCTATAAATCAAATACTGTAAATTTACATCAATGTACATGTAATATTTGTAGAACATTTGCAAGACAAATGAATTCCTGTTATCACTTTTGTTATAACAGCTATGAGCAGTGGTTCCCTCACCAGACTTTTTTTTTTTCTCACTCTTGAAGTTAAGAAGACAAACATGGAGCTTCTCATGTTACTGAGAAACTGGAACGTACAAAAAGTCCCTTTTTCTGATGAATTTTCCATGTCAGAAACATTACTGACGGTTACAGATGGCTGACATTGGAGACTCTTTTCATAAATTTTGAATAAATATCTTCTTACAGAAGACATTTTTCTTTGTTAAATAACTTAAATAACTTCATATTTGTTTATGATTATGTGGAAAGCCTGGCACACACATGGAGTTGTTACTAAATTCTAACATATTAGAACAGGCACATTAATATGAACTTGTGATTTGAATTAGAACTTTTACTGAGCTGCTGTTGTAGAATATTAATAAACTATTTGTGAGAAATCAGATTCGAGTGCTGTGGTATAAATAAAAAAAGTTGATGTTAAAGAAATCCTGTAGTATTTTTCAACCTAATCCTATAGCTTGCATCTGTAGCATATGTGTAATAATCAAAACCAGCAATTTTGACATGTGTATCAGTACTGTGAAGAAAAAATTCATTTTCCTCAAGTTGACACATTTTTGTAGAAAGATTTCATGAATTCTTTAATTAAATATGTTTATAAATGACGCTCTAAGCTCCTTTCAGAGATCAGGCTGTTGTTGTTCTTTCAGCTGCTCCCTTTATGAGTTGCCAACACAGATCACTTTCCATTGTCTGCATATTGATTTGGCACAGGTTTTACACCAGATGCCTTTCCTGACACAACCCTCCCCATTTATCCAGGCTTTGGACCAGCACTGAGAATACACTAGCCTGTACACCCCCAATGGCTGGGGTTGATGCCCAGCATGGGGCTCAAACCCACAAGCCTGAGATCGAGTCCCATGCGCTACCAACTGCGCTAGCCAGGTGTCCTTTCAGAGCTCGGGCTATTGTAAGGACATGTTTTTGATTTATGCATTACCAATGTAGTTACCGTAAAATAGCCCATTGCTTTTTGGTGCTTGGATACCACAAAATGTTGGGAATCACTTTTAATTGTATTGCCATTGTTTGATAAAACTTAATATAAAACTTAATAGATCTTAACTTAAAACTTAAGAACTATTTTGGAATAAACTTCCTCTCATGTCTGTCTCATCCTCTGTTGACCTCTATTGTTAGAGTGTAATGGTTGTAATTTTAAATTTTAAATGTTTATTTGTCAGAATTCAACAACAGCCCTTTGACTACCATTGCAAGCGAGTTTGGAGTAAACAGGTTTTCTTCTCTTGCCTCAGGACAGGACAGGTCGAGAGGATGCGGGAATTGCACAAAGATTGGAAAATTATTTCACCCTGATGGGGGAGCTGTTTGTTTCTTAAGTGCTGCCAAAGCCCGATTACATTATACTATAGCACACCCTTAATTATAATGTCATTAAAAGGTCAAATAAAGGTTTATTTGCATGTAGATGGTTCTTTTCTTTCTCCAGCAACTTTTTTTTACTGAAAGTTCACACAGCAACTTTACTTTTATTTCATCTAGTGCAATAAGAACATCACGTCTACAGACAAGTCATTGCTACATATGCAGTGCAAACTTGATGTTAATGAAAGTTATCTGTAGGAAATGAGACGTTTTAAATCTGAAGAACCAGGTAATTATCTTTAAGATTGTAAATAAGTGACTACAATATTGAATTATTCTTATTCAATATTCTTATTCTTATTGAATTATTCTTATTTTAGAAATAAGTAATTGCTACTAATTATGCTTATTAAATCTATCAATTACTGTAACACAAACCACCCTGTTTAGAGCTTTAATGGGAGTGTGTTGAAATGGAATCTCTGTGCATTGTTTTCACTCATCGTCATCGAGGTGTGTAGTGGAAACTCCAGAAGGATTAAATAACCATCTTTATTACACTCGTGTGTTTGTGTATACTCGTGCCTGTGTGTGAGGGAGAGGCTCCAGGGTTTGTGCTCTGGCTCTGTGGTATGCACGCAAACAGCGGGAGAGTGCAGGAAGTTTGTCCAGGATGGCAAGTCCCATAGTTTCTCGAGTCTGTGCTATGTCAGGAATGTTGGTTTCTCTTGTACTGGGGCAGAAGATGTGTAAAAGAATTTCAAAATCCAACAAAACATGAAATGTTAATGTTTCTAAATGTGCAGTGTAGCTATTAGATCACAGATTCTTTTTTATGAGCTTTAGTTAATTTTGACATTCACATCTTACATGATACATTCACATCTTCCTTGGCCCTTGAGAGATGGCTATGAGATGTCTAATTCAGGCATTAACAGAGAACTAAAATAGTACTAGCCCTTAGAAAATGGGAAGATGGAATACCATCAAATTAAAATCAGCAAGCTCCATACTGCGCAGTCATGCACTTGTCAAATAAACTGTAATTAAAACCAAGTAGGCTGTGATCATGAAGATTCATATTTGCAAGATTCACAGCTGATACACTACAATGGACCGGCTTTTCAGGACCCTGAAATAAACAACTGATATAACAGATGTCAGTTATGTTATCAATTTACATTGCTGTCATTTTAGGCAGTGTAATGATTAATGTTTCAACTGAAACATATTCATATGTATCGTAAGGAAATAATCTTTAAGATCTATGAAATAATTCATAGAAATACGGAAATAGTCTAATCTACTTTTAAAGATTAAGGTTGTTACGCAGTGTATCCCGCACTATCACAAGTATTACATGGCCTAAGGGGACCCTACAGAATGAAACTTTTTTCAGAAGAATGTAAATTGTCCATGGGCTGAGGGAAAAGTGTCCACGGCACCATGCAAATAAGAGATTACAAAACAGTATAATTTCTTCTAAGGATATTTGGAAACTGTTATAATATCTTATGCGATAGCTTCCTGGTTCTTTGTGTATTCCGCAATTGATGTCATTCATTCATGAAAAATGTGCAGCTTTTTGTGTTAGCCATTATATCTCCTTTCTTACTACCTGTAACTCAATTTCCTTGTACCAGGCATGTAATCTTAACCAATTAATTATATCATTTCCTTTTCATTCCATATCAGCCCCAGGCCTAGCATTACAAGTTTCATTTCACATATTTCAAGATTTTTGGTCTTTTTTCTCAGTTGTTTTTTAATGTTCACACAGTGGGGTAGGGGCATCAGAATGCTGAAGCCAGACACCATAATAGACAAGAATAGTATAATTTTAGAAAAGGAGTTGATATTAATATTTCTTTTGGAAAGACTGCACGTCATGGTGTCAATTTTGAGTCTTTTTTGGAGAAAAATGAATGGACAAATCCCCAAAGCCACGGGGGGCTGGGACTAAATCCATAATGGGATCTTCAACAAGCACATATGGGTGTGATTTGTCAGGTGTCCACAAACGTTTATTATTATTATCATTATTATTATTATTATTGTTATACAGTTATTTATAATATATTCACCCATTTTGTAGTTTTTATCCTATCCATGCCTGATTATTCCACATTTATTTAAATGCACTGGGACATGACTGACATCTCTGTGTTAGAACTGGTATGGTTTTTCTTTGCGTATTTGGTACTGATACAACGTCATCTGAAATGTTTCTTGCAGATTTGTGATTTTATTCCATAAGATTATGCATAATTACCTGTTTTACCCTGTCAGCATTTTAGTATTTTAATGATTAGAAGTAATTGAAAATCAATCATTGTGTAAATTTGAACATTTGGCTTTAAACATCAAAACAATACAAAATAAAATATAGTATATTACCAGCAAAACATAAGATACAGAGGTGTTGTTCAGGTGAACATGACAGAAATTTCCAAATCAGGGAAGTCACATGGTTCAGGCCATTAAAGTTCTTTTAACAGGGTGGAATATCAAGTTTACCTCTTCTCCTGTCAAAGTTGTACATTTATCTTGCTCATTGTGTGACTCTTTCATAATGAATTTTTTTGTTATTTATCAAAATATATAGAAGTGGAAAAAGTACTGAGAAATACTTAATTGTAAGTACAGATGTGTTAAAATCTTACTCAGTTAAAAGTGGAAGTATCCAGCCAACAATAAACTCAAGTGACAGTAAAGAAATTGCTACTTTTAAATGTAATTAAGTATTAAAACATAAAAAGCAACTTTTTTTAACTGAAATTAAGTAAATGTCATGTTTTCATGTGACTTGTAACTTTTATTTATTTTTTTAAACTCTTGGAAGATGATTTTCATTTTAAAGCAACTATGCCGTTTTGACAGAAAACATCATTCAATCTCTGTACGTTTGCTGCTGACTAATACAAGTGGCATTTGAGCTTGCCATCTACAATAAGTGTGACTAACTCTACATAATTTGATAATGAATGAATGAGAAGAAAATGATACTGAGACACAGACAGAGCTTGCCTAACAGCAGTACCCATGATCATGTCATTTTATGTCATAAATCTACACAGAATATCCCATATTATTGAAGTGTGAGCAAAAAGTCAATATAGTTTGCAAAATTAGTTACAAATAAAAAAGTAAAAGTTGTGATTGTATAAGTATTCACTCCTTTTGATGTGAAAGCCCTAAATTAGTTCTAGTTACCATCAGAAGAATCCTAAAAAAATCCATAATGAAATCTCCATTTTGGTAGATAGCTAAGCAGCTTACTTCTGCCTGTACAACTCAACATGCACTGCTTGTACTATATATCAATTACAGCCACTGCTGATATGTGAGCTAAATAAAAGAATAAAAACAATTGTATTTGATGACTTCAAATTTGAACTGTGGACATTAATCAAATTTGCCCAGCTGTTTAAACAAAGTCACTTTCTTATTTAACTTCTATTGTTGGCTTCTTTAACAGAGCAATACTTAGATTGTTGTTTTGAACTCTGACATATAAAGAAATGAAATGATGAAAAAATTTAAACCTATAGTATTTTTCCTTTTTTGCAACTACTCACAATACCTTCCATTGTTATCACGAGGGCCTTAAGATTAATAAGGGTTGGCACTACTTCTTTATTAACCTTTATACCATTTCTTTATTCTAA